TATTTAATCTTGTATATTGATAAAAATCAATATTCATTGTTAAAAAATTTATAAATATTTTCCATGCATCTTGATTAACACTTAATTTTCTTGTATTTTCAGTTGTTGTTGACGTATCAATAGACGATAATACTTCAGACGAATAAGTAAACATTTCTAATTGTTGACTTTGAAAAAATTCATACGAATCCGAATCGAATTTCTTTTTCACATAAAAAAATTTGATGTGTGTATAATTACTAAGAAAACCATATATTTTTTCACGATTTTGTATTTTCAATATAATTTTCAAATATAATAATATTTCTTCAATCATTGAATTTGTTGATAAAGAAACATATGGAGACATTAAATTACCAAGACAAATAACAAAATCTTCTAAACATGATTTTTCTTGATCAATATCAATATTTATATTTTTATATATAAATGTACAATGAGGATTAAACTTATTTAAATAATATGAAGAAGATGTATTTAAATATTTTAATGATGTAGAATTATTCAATGTATTTAATAAATTAATAATTAATTGATCAAATTCTTTTTGAATTTCTTCTTCATTTAATTTAGGATATGATGAAAATTGATTTGAATAATGTTCAATATTATTTAATATATTATCATTAAAATAATTATTGTCATTTAATGCCACATTAATATCGAACGATTGTAAATCATCGGGTACATCGATATCGAAAAAATAATCATGAGATGTAAACACATTAGGACGTCTTTTAATTGATGATGAATCGGATTCGATATCTAGCTTCCGTTTTTTATTTTGGTACGATTCATGTATTTGTTTCTGTTTTGCTTCTTCGATTTGTATCTTCAATTCTGTTGTACGTCTTATTATTTCAAGTTGACGATCCAGAGGTTCATTGATACGGTTCCACATTTCACGTTCACGAATAGTTGTTTCCATTTGACGATCGATTTTTTTCATTTTATATTGATATATAGCTAGTTCGATTTGTTGCATATCTTGAGCTTCATGTTTCATTTTTTCGATTTCATTTCGATGTTTTGTTTCCTCGATCAGTTCAATTTCTTCAGCTTCACGTTTCATTTTTTCGATTTCATCCTTAAGTTGTACGACTAGTTGTTTTGCTTTTTCTTTCTCCTCAAGTTGTTTTTCTATCAATTCTTCTACAGTTTCTTCTTCACCATCATTTGTAGCCATAATTGTATAGTTATTTTGCTTTTTAATTTTTATCTACAAGTAAAATAGAAAAGATATTTTATGAATTGAAATCAAGAAGACGACACAGTCGAGTAATCATAGTCAAACCGGATCGAATGGTAAAGTGACAATAATAATGTGTAGATCAGTTGATATATAATTCACAACTGACAGCATTTATATATGATCATTGAATACGATAGAATCAGTCGGACGGTTGACTTCAGCCGACTTTTTTTTGCCCTGAATAGCCGACAACAATGAATGATATTAGATAACGTGATAAACAATGGATACAAAAAACATTCTAGAAGTATAAACAAATTATTAAATGTCTTATATGACGTTCGAAATAAGGCGCTTCAATCTATTTATTATTACATAGAACATACTGATCTGATGTATTAACTGTGAGAAAATTCAAATAATAGATGAAAATACCATATGCTCATTTCTAACCAATCATAGATATGTCGCAAAGTGTGAATGGATTAAGATAAAAACTACACTCACACGCTACACACAATTGTGTGTGTATGTTATCCTTTTTCATTTACATCAGTCATATTGCATTTCATCTTATATCTATATTTGTCCATTTGTCATTTTTTTTTGTACACACGATTGCTGTAGTAACATCTTATTCGTGTATATTTGATCTTTAAGATGAACTTGAATAATCAATCTGTATTTTTATTTATCTAATAAAATGAGACAAACATAGTATTATCATAACTATATTAAAACGAAAGTTCTGATCCTTATATTATTATTTTCAATCGTATATCATTAATAACGATATAAAAACGAAGTTTTGAAAGTTAGTATCATAATCAATTGAAATGTCATGAACGTTTTACAACATAAACATCAATATTGTAGATATTAATATCATCATATCAATTGAAAACACAGTCTTAATGTTACCTCATAAATATTGAAATTTATGCCGTTAGTTTCATTTTTTTCAACACATTTATTATGTATTGATTAGAACTCAAAACATGAGTTATAAAAATTAGGCTTCCTAAATATTTTTTATATTTTAACATCAAGGCGTGCTTTTCAATCGGTATGATGATACTAATATCTATGATATTAATGTGTATGTTGTGGGTGGGTGGGGGTGTGGGGTGTGGGTGTGGGAGTGGGTGTGGGTGGGGGTGGGGGTGGGGGTTTTTGGTTTGTGATGGATACCCTAGGCACGCCGCAGCGTTGAAAGCCATTTTCGAGATAACCATCACGGTCGGAAGTACACATCAGGATGAGTGGGAAGACACGCATCTTAAGAACATTCTTTTAGGCTGCCATAGGATGATGAACAACCCCGGTATCATCTCTTCTACTGTACCGAACACACTCACCACCGAGGATCACGGGGTATGCCCGACCTCTATCTGGATCATAAATGTGTGACGATAAATTAGAACAGGAGGGACCGTGTGGGGGGACCGTCTTGAGGGTGTGGGTGTGTGGGTGTGGGTGTGGGT